AAATAGCACACGCGTGTATCTTAATCACTTTTATATCCTAACAGAAACAATGCCAACACTGTTGATTCCTATTCACTCTGGTTATGGTACTTTGTTATTGTAACTTCCATCACGAATGTAAAGGATGCTGTGCGGTAGGACACCGTAGCCGAGCTTCATGGGCACCTGGTGCGCATCTGAGTAGTAATCCTTCCTTCTTATTTCCCTTCCCCTATTCCTTTGCGTTGCGTGTCACAATAGTAATTTACTCACACAAAGATATTACCATCCAAGCACACTCGTATCTATCCACATCCACACACCGCAGTCAAGCGCATTGTCTACGACAGCCGCTGCCACACGCCACCGAATGCCCAACCCGCACACCGGTCTGCGGGTGTCCACGCTGACCGCGGCCGCTGTCCTGCTCGCGCTGCTCGTCGGCACCCCGCTGATCGCTGCGGGGCACCGTTGTATCTTCGACAAGCTGCAGCGCCTGCAGCTGGCGACTGGCACCAGTGCCGTCCCCGAGGTGAGGGACCGCGGGGCGCCGCAGCGGCAGGGTGCGGAGCAGCACGGCAGCTCCACAGCCCCTGATGCGTGGGAGCCGATCCGCATCTCGGTGTTCACCCAGGACCTTGATGACAGCTCTCGCTACTGCACACAGCCCGGGGAGATGAAGCCTGATTTCAAAGGCTCCATGATGAAATGCAATTCCGATAACGTTTTCACAGATGAAAAGAAGCAACTCCTGCGTAAGCTCATAATCCCCAACGCGATACGGATGCACAAGGACCGCCTGCTGGTGCAACCGCTCAAAGATAGCATCCTTGTTGAACACTTCACTGGAGATGTTTGCTCTTACTTTACGATTCCCCAGTCCCACCACGACACTGGTGTACCGAATGCTGACTTCGTGTTGTATGTTGCAGCGGGACCAACTGTACCTGGTACAAAAGCATGTGCAGTCACGTGTCAATATGACCCCAGCGGCCGCCCCTTGGTGGGTATTGCCAATATTGGGTCCGTAGACACTATGGACATTTTTTCTTTAACACATACCCTGGCGCACGAGTTACTGCATGCGTTGGGATTTGAAATTGAATTATTTAAAAATCGAAATATGGTTGATACTGTGTCTGTTCGTAATAAACCAGCAAGTTATGTTCTGAAGTCGCCCAAAGTGGTGGAAGTCGCGAGGGCTCATTACGGGTGCAGTACCATGCAGTACGTGGAGTTGGAGGATATGGATGGCACGGGGGCTGTCGGCTCACACTGGAAGATGCGCAACGCAAAGGACGAGTTGATGGCTCCTTACGATTCTGAAGGATTCTACACTGCCATCACCATAGCAGCGATGGAGGACATGGGCTACTACAAAGGCAACTACCGCAATGCTGTAAGCATGGCATGGGGTAAGAATGCCGGTTGTGTGCTCTTTGATAAGAAGTGCGTTATTGACGGTGTGTCGCAGGTGCCGGAGATGTTCTGTGAAGGGGTAATCTCTTTGATAAATTTGTACAGGTGTACATCAGATCGGATGGGCATTGGTGACTGCTCGATAGTGTGTCTTGTTAACTTGCCAAGATATTTCCAGTACTTCACTATATCTAAGTATGGAGGTCCTCTAAAATTAATGGATCATTGCCCGATCATAATACCAGATTCAAACACTATGTGCTTAAATGGAGATGCAAGTATTCTCCCTGGTTCTGTGTTTTCAGAATCTGCGCGATGTTTTTCAGCCGTCTCGAGCACTCATCTCCAGATAAGCAATGGCAAAAATATGCTCTCTATTTGCGCAGACGTACAGTGTGACAAGGACACCTCGAGGTACCGTGTGCGCGTGAAGGGCGCCAGTGATTTCGTGGACTGTCCATCCGGTACTACCCTTGTGCTTTCGGACTACAGTGCTGAGTTCTGGTCTGGTGTTATCACGTGCGCACCTTATGAGACTATATGCCCCGAAAACCATTACCATGGTGCAAATAGTGACATAAACACTGCAAAAAAACAAGATGGAAGTACTACTAAAAATAAAGCCGAAAGCACCGAC